GTTTGATGTCTGCTGAATTGGTAGGTGTGTTCAGACCCAATGCTCAGCCCTGTAGTTTTTGCTTTCAAACACCAGAGGGCAGTGTCAACACGTTGAGGATGAAATTTATAACCCGCCCACCACCCACTCTCAAATCTGGAAATTGAATGTGGCTTATGAAAAGCTATTCTGGGACTGCACAGGACTTACTGCTCTTCACTAGTTCTAAACACATGATTCGTGTTTATTTGTGAGGCCAACACTAGGTTTGGAGTTTTAGTGGAGGAGTCGCTAATGACGCTTCCTTCCATCCTTAGTCAACCCCTCAGAGAAGACCATCTTCATAATGGCTCCTACCCAAAGTGGCCCTCCTAACCCCGCTGCGTGATCACCCCTTGAAATTGGAACTGTTAGTCCCAGCGGGTAGGGCGTTTGCCTTGCACGCAGCCGACCGGGCTGACCCAGGTTCAATTCCTCCGCCCCTCTCGGAGAGCCCAGCAAGCTACCGAGAGTATCTCACCTGCACGGCAAAGCCTGGCAAGCTACCCGTGACGTATTCGATATGCCAAACACAGTAACAATTGTCACAATGGAGACGTTATTGGGCCCGCTCGAACAAATCGATGAACAGTGGGAGGACAGTGCTACAGTGCTACAGTTCAAAGGAAATGGGCGCTATGATTCTGTTCTTCTTCGGAGCCTCCCTTCTCTTTATGTACACTCTCTTACACACAAACATCGGGGCTCTGGGTGGTGGTTCAAAGGCTCTAACCTTTGATGGGTGGGAAGTCATAGTCATGAGAAACAGCATTCTGTGCCCTTGACTGCAGGGACCCTGATTCCCACCCTCTTCCAGGAAGCCCCCAGGTGTAAAAAAGCACCCCAGTTACTGAACACGGGAGGCCCATTTCAGAGAGCCCTACTGTTTGAAGTATCTTTGCAAAGCCACATGACAATTGGAGGCTATCAACAAGACTTGAATTTGGGGGATTTTTGTTGTTATTGTTGTTGTTTTCAGAAAACTAAATGCCAAAATTTTATTCTTTTTTTTCTCTCTAGAGAACTCTGTCCTGCTCTGGAATCCCTGAGCAATAAATATGTCAGGGCAGGTCCCAGAGGCTCCTCCCCCTTGTCTTTGGAGTAACCTTGCTCCTTGACCCTGCTCTGTGTGCACCCCTGACAAACAGGAAGGCCTCCGCGCCATCAGTGTTGTCTCCCTCGGCGCATCCGAGACCTGTCTGGGCCATCAAAGCCATCCCCGGCCCCCAGGAGCATTCTGGAGGGGACATCAGCCTCACCAAAAATAATTCCCCATTGTGTTTCCCCTCTTGGAAATCATGGATTTGTAAACAGGCCCTTGCATGTAGATAGGTCCTGCCCTGGCTTTGTGCTGGTGTGTTGTTTTTTCTTCTGTGAACAATGTCCTTGCCAGTAGAACCAGCCGTTCACACCATTGTCTGAGACTCTTGGACTACAGGAAACAGCAGCAGATTCTTATCAGCTGAAGGGGCCGCAGAGTGAACAGATGAGGTCATGTCCATACAGCTTGCTGGTCAGCCACATTCTTCTCTGCCTTTATCTGGGAGAGCAGAGCCCTCCGTGGCCTCCCTGCAAGTCAACCTGGGCTTTAAGTGACTCCTCCGGTCCCCTCTATTTGAGGGCACACACCTGGCCTCTCATCTCTGCTGTTGATTCCCCTCAGGATCCTCCTCAGTCACCATTCATTCCCTAGCACTGGTCTTTCCTCTGCCCCCTGGGACGCTCACGGCAATGAGCCACATACCTCTTGGATGCATTAGATTGTCAGTCCTTTTCCTTGCTGGTGGGAGAGAGGCAAGGCCACTCCCGTCCTCAGCACATTGCTGAGTTCCCTCTGCAGCTAACGGCTGGGCGCCTGTGTGGGCTGAGAACGTGCAAGCCTTTGGGTGCTCTCTGAGGCCCAAAGAAGCTCCATCCCCTGTGTGAATGATTTATGTACTTATTTCTTTTTTCTTTTCTTGTCTTCTTGGTTTGGGAGCTACATCTGGCTATGCTCAGAGCTTACTTCTGGCTCTGTGCTCACAGATCTATCCTGCGGGGACTTAGGGTACCATATGGGGAGCCAAGGATCTAACCCGGGCAGATTCTTGCAAGGCAAGTGCCCTACCTGCCGTACCATCTCTTCAGCCCGCAAGAAGAAGTTATTATAAAGGTTGTGCTGAGGAACCAGGGGTTTCCCTAGTGAAAACTCAGTGGGAAAAGTAAAAGGCTTCCTTAGGGCACAAACTCAAAGGAAGAGGGCCGACCACGGTGTGGTGCACGAGGGAAGGCTGGGGTGGGAAGTGGGCCTGGGGCCACCGTTGCCATTGCCTCATCTCCTGTGTTCGGGGTGTGGCCAGGGTGGGGAGCCCCACAAATCCCCAGGCTCCTTATCAGGTATTGTATCCAGAGTGAGCCCCACCCCGCTGATTGGCTCCGCATCAGGGCAAGGCTGCAGTCCCAGCACCCCCGGGGGAATTCATCTGGGCACAGGCCGGACTCTCACTGTATGGGAGCCTCCACATACCAGGGCCTGGCCAAGGCTGGGTGGACCCTGTGCTCTGGTGGCGACCAGACTGAGTGGCTGTCTCGGGTCTGCGGAGAGGCCGGGCTGGCGGAAAGGCCTCTCTCTGCTGGCGGCAGAGGCATGTGCACGAGCAAGCTGGGACTCATCCTGCGCAGAGCTTTTGGGGTGCTGTCGGGCCCCAGGAAGACAGCCTGGCAGGGGGAAGGCCAGGCTCTAGGTGGCTCCTGCCTGCCCACTCCTGAGGTTGATGGATTATAGGGGTGTCCGGGACCTGACCTGGCCTTAGCTGAGTGAAGGGAAGCAAAGAAGCCATTCGAGAAAAGGGCTGTTCTCCTCCCTTCCTCTGCCGCCTCCTTTCGTCCCACCCTTGCATGGCAACTAGTCTGTTGGATTTCAGAACGGTCTCAGGCTTGGGGCGAATCCCAGTCCTCCACAGAGGCCCAGCCCTGACCTAGAAGGAAGTGGGCAGAAGCGGGCTGTGCCTGGGAGGAGGCAGCCAGAGGCAAGGCAGGGGCCAGGTGCCAGGGCCAGTGGAGTGAGCGTTTGGCAGCCCTGACCCTGGACAGCGGGTCATGCTCTGGTGTGGGCCAAGGGGAGCTAAGACGTGGCCAGTCCATCTGGCAGGTCAGGGCCTTCAGAGTTTACAGGCTGGGCAGGCAGAGATGAATAAATTAATCTTATAAGGGGGACTCCGTGCCAGACTCTTTTCACTTGGGGCGCCCCAGAGTGGGGCTGGTGAGAGCCCTCCCTGCCCCAAGGGACCCAGCCCCGGCAGCCGGCCTCCACTACCCAACTGCCGCCAAGCTCCAGGCCACTTCCCAGTGGCCGCGCGATACATTAGAAGACACTTCCTACCCATTTTCAATAATTACCACACCATATTTGATGGGGTTCAGACAGTGGGCAACAAATCGTAGAGAGAAATATATAAATATATGCCTCTTGGAGAGCCCTGCAAGCTGCTGAGAGTATCCTGCCCGCACGAGCAGAGCCTGGCAAGCTCCCTGTGACGTATTCAATATGGCAAAAACAGTTACGACAACAGGTCTCTTTCCCTTGACCCTGAAAGAGCCTCCAATTATTGGGAAGAGACGAGCACGAAGCGGCTGCTAAAATCTCGGGGCTTGGAGGAATAGAGACGTTAATGGAGCCCGCCCGAATAATCGACGAACAACGGGGTGACAGTGACAGATAAGTTAAGGGAGGATATTGCTCAAATCAGCATTTTCCCAAAGTATGCTGTTCAAACCCCTCGCAGCGGGAGGTGCCCGTCCCTCCAGAGGAACATAGGTGGAGCCGCAGATGCGTGGGGAGACCGTGGCACACACACAGGCCGCCGGGACAACGGGAGCTCATGGGGCAAGAAGCTGATTTTTCACTCAGGTTCACTCCCCGGGACATCAACCTGGGAAATCGTTCCAGTTCCCTTCTCCAAGTCCCGTTCCAAATCTACACCTGTTTGGGAAATCATCAGAGGCCCAAAGACCAGGGGAAGCAGGAACCTGAGCGGGAAAAGCCGGGAGAGGAAGTTGACCGTGAAATCACTGAGGCAGGAAATCATGCTGAAGCAGGGGTGAGGGGTGTGGAGGCCTGCAAGGTTTTCTCTTGTCCCTGGGGAGAGGGGAACACCCCACAACCCTCCCAAACAGCTCTCCTCTAGGTGTCGCTTGGAGGCTGCCTCTCAGGCAAGGGCAATCAAGGTAGCTTGGGGCCGAGCTAGAGGCGTCCAGGTACTACCAGACCAGTATCTTTCAGGGCCTGGAGACAAGGAGCTGCCACAGGTGGCCAGACCCTGATGGCCTATAAAGTCCCCCAGGCCTAGGGCACGGTGCAGGCGAGTCTCCCTGGAGATGTGGGGGAACGGGGTCGTCCCTACATTGAAGCACCTCTGTCTTTCTTGCACTGCATCAGTAATGGCGGTCTCCTTTGAGGCAGCGTGTTGTCCCCAGGAGGCAGGAGCTGTGGTCAGCACAACCTCTGCCACAGGCCAGAATCTCACAGCTCCCCTCCTCCCCAGAAGCTGCAGCCCCCGCAGCACCCTTCTGTGCCCCCGGCAAGGGCACAGGGGCCTTAATATACGTTGGTATGTGGTGTGAGATGAAAAACAGGCACCCGGCCAAACTCTGCAGTTACAAATGTCAAGTGTCATTGTGAGTAAGGAGCTTGACTGCCTATGCGCCTGTCTGCCCTTTGCCAGAATTCTTTTTATTTTATTTTATTTTTTTCCTGGCTCCAGAGCCTCCTGAAGTTCTAGGAAGGTCAGTATCAAAAATCTTCAGGGCAGGATTTTCCTAATTCAATAAACCCTCTCAGCGTCCCAGACAAAGGCCTCCATCCTTCCCCTGATACCCATCTCCCCGCCCTCCCAGAAAATCCCACCCTGGGTGGCCGTTCTCCCTCCAGGAATGAAGGCGAAGGCTCCTCCTTCCCAGCCCACACAGATGGCATCGGTCAATTTAGTACAGAAACACCGAGATTCAATAATGATATAATTATGTGAGGTAAAGAGGAACATCACCCCCTTCCTAGTGGACTGCCCGGGAGACCACGAAGCTCTGCTCACCAGTGCTCAGGGGCCGTCACGACCATAAAAGTCCAAGCAATAAGGCAAATGTGCTCTGGAAACAGAAACTGCAAGCCCGTCTCAACACATGAATACAAAATTAGAGCTCACGAGGCATTCCCGAGAGTCAATAAGGCACAGCATCATGGTGGAAGTCGTTCATAATTTTCCAAGTACAGGTACTTGCTGGTGAGGATTTATCTGTTCCTATTCCCTCCTTTCCCCAAGTAACCAGTATCCCGCCTGGAGTCACCTTTAGCCCAATCTAGCCTAATACCCCGCCAGGGCCCTGGTGCTTTCTTCCAGTCCTCCTGGGGGAGAGTGGGAAGCCAGTTCTGCCTTTGTTCTGTTTCTCCCTGGCATTCCCTGTCTTGCCCCCCTTCTCCCCCCTGCAGTAGCCCCAGGCTCGGTGCTTTCCCAAGTGGTGGCACTGTCTCAATGTGGAGAAAGGGGAGAAAGGTTAATCAGATGGGGAGGCAGGGGCAAGGCAGACACAGCCTGGCTCTGAGTCCAATGGAACCGGAAGCCTTGTCTTATATTTTGTCTGTCTTTTTCCCCTCTTCTCTTCATCTTGGCTTTTAGGGGGTTTTTGTTTTTAGGCTATACCTGGCGGTGCCCTGGTTCTGCACCCAGGGATCTCCTGGTGGGCCCTGGGGAACCAGATAGGATGTTGGGGAAACCTGGGTTGGCAAGGCAAGCACCCTACCCACTGGACTATCCCTCCCGCCCCTCATCTTGGTTTTTCAATGGAGGGACTCAGAAAACCTGATCCTCTTATCTCCTGTCGGTTCTGTGCATCATTAACATTGACTTACAGGATGAGAACAACTTTTCATTTTGTCCTCCTTCTCTTCCTCCTCCTCCTCCACATTCAGGCTCCCAGGCCCAAGAAATACTTTACTGACAAAAATACCTCCCTATGCCCTGCCTGGCCACCTGAGCCTCAACCCCCAAATCAGCAGGACTAACATTTTCCACCCCTCCTACATTTTTTTCCCCTTAAAAGAAAAAAAAAAATTCCTAAATGAGCCAACCAGACCAACCCTTATTTAAGGAAAACCGAAGATTCCAGAGTGGGAAACATCTGGCCCTCGCCTCGGCTGGCAGTGCCGGAGAGGCCTGCTCCAGGACGGTCCATCCGTGGCCCTCCCGCATTCCACACCTCGGGCCCTGCCCCACCCCCGCCGCTGGCTCACACAGCCGCATTCCCGCCCTCCTGGCTGTGGACACTGACTCCGCTCTGCCCAGTTCCCCTCTTCCCATGTCCAGTTAGCAGAGCGCGGGGATGGCTTTCTGGAACCCACCATGATGGGCCCAGCAGTCCAGACGCTCTCCCTGGGAACCAGGCCGGAGGGCGGAGGGAGAAAGTGCGCAGTTCTCCCAAAAGAGCTGGCCTGGTACTTCTGGGGTCTCGAGGCAGGGAGCCAGGCTGTGAGAGCCCCCTCCTCACTTCATGCAGGGGGCCGCTGAGAGCTCTGGCCACCCGCACTGCTGTGACTCTGCTGTAAACAGTTGTTGTGTGTGGTGGTGGGCGGTAGCCAGGAGGCACCAAGATCTGTGACTTGAGGCAATGCAGGAGCTGGGGGGGTGGGGAGGGGAGCGGTGTCCAGCTGGTCCACCCTCACGGCACCTCCCCTCTCCCTCCCTCGCTCAGAGAGGGTCAGTAGTCTTAACGGAGTGCTGGCTTCACGGGCACTCTCCTGCCTCTGGCTGCCCCACCCATCCTAGACAGGGCCCCCAATGCCCAGGCTCAGGTCACTCAGAATGGCCATTGTTCTGCAGGCTGGGAAAGAACCACCAGCCTCTTGCCTATGGGCACACCCGGAAATGGATTCTAGGGGCCACGTCTGAGAACAAAAAGCAGCCCCACAGGGTGCCGGGGGCGGCCAGAAAGAGAGAGGGTGCTGGCTCCAGTCTGGGACTGCAGCAGAGAGGGGCAGAGAGCAGACCCTGGGCATGGTCCTCCCTCAGGCCCAGGCACGCAGCCTTTCCTGCAGCAGTGTGGGGCGGGGGGAGGCTGGGAGCAGACACCCCATCAGGAAGTCAGAAATGTGACCATCACTACCCTCGCTGGGTGGCTGGGAGATTCTGGGGGCGGCTGCTGGGCTGGGTGGCCCCTCCAGGCTACCTCCTCCTCTGCTGCCTTCTACGTGGCCTCTACCTCCCGGGGCGTCCGATTGCGTTCCACCTGGGTCCGGCTCTTCACCTTCTTGCCCAGCTCCAGCCCTGCCCAGCTCTTGCCCTTGGCCTGCTTGGCCCGGCTCCGGGAGGGGCACCACAGGCGCTCACAGTACTCATCCACCCGGGGCAGGTTGGCGAAGCCGATGAGCTGCAGGATGTCTTTGTACCAAGCCTTGGGTGGCGCAGAGGCCAGGCCCGCCCGAGCTGCGGGGAACAGGCCGTGAAGCTGCTCGGCGCCGATCACCTCCAGCGCCAGGCGAGCGATGGTGCGGGAGAAGCCGTGCTCCAGCGTGGTACAGATGTAGGTGCCCGCGTCGAGGCGGCTGAGCCTGCGGAAGAGCAGCCCCTGCTCCGTGTGCAGGATTCGCTCGTCCGTCTTCACCTGCCAGGCACAGGGAGAGCCGGGATGGGGTGCGAGGCCAGGCAGGCACCAGCCCCTGATCACACTCCGCTCAGTCCCTTTCCCACATTCCCCTGCTGGGCCGGTACTGGACACTCCTCCTGGTCCTTGTGCGTCCACAGCCCGGAAGGCAGAGTCCACGCTGATTCGCTCCACCTTCCTGCAACTCAGCGCAGACCAGCCAAAGGGCCTCTGCCAAGGCTGGATTAACCAGCATGCCCCTCGTCAGAACTTTGGGGCACCTATCTGGATGCCCCAGGACACATTCCCAGACAGCAGGTGAAAAGCCCAGGCCCTCCTCTCTTCTTTTTTCTGCCACACCTGGCAGTGGTGCGCAGGGCTTACCCCTACAGAGTGCTGAGGGGCCAACTGTGCTCCAGGGAACCAACCCAGAGTTGGTTGGTATAAGAGCCTTCACCCGCGTGTTGTCAAGCCTAGCCCTAAAGCCTAGGTATTTCTGGGCTCTCACTCAGGGGGGCTGGGACCCCGGCTCGCAGGTGAGAATATCACCTGACAATCTTGGAGGTCTGCATCACCCATTTCTGCAGAGCAGGGCCTGCGATGGGTGGCAGAACATCTCCAGAGCCCGGGGCAGCAGGGAGGGGTGTTGCTCATTTTGGCTTGGTCGGCACCCAGTGTGGGCTAGAACCTGGGCATCTGTGTGCCAGGCAGAGTGTGTGTGTTGGCAGGGTTAGTGCTGTGAAATTCCTTGCTTGCCTCACCCCTGGGCCCCTGGGGGAGGCTTCCTAGTGCCCAGCCTAACAGCTGGCCCAAGGCTGGCCTCCCCCAAGTTCCCAGGCTGGAAGGAGAGCAATGCCCCTCCCCTGCCTCAAGACAGTTCCTCACCCTGCTCCGCCCACGCTCATCCCAGGCCCAGACTGAAGGCATCTCGCCTTGACAGACCTTTCCGGATGGGGGAGGATGGCCTGTGCAGACAGCTGGACTCTGGACAGGAAGTGTGAGGTTGGGCTCTGTGTGTGTGTGTGTGTGTGTGTGTGTGTGTGTGTGTGTGTAGAGGGACAAGGACCAGAGACCAGGCCTGGAGCAGAGGAAGATGAAGAAACCCTGGCAAAAGCCTCCTTCAAGGATGAGCCACAGGGGCTGAAGAGATAAGAGATAGATAGTGGGGAGGGCATTTGCTTTGCACATGGCTGACCCAGGTTCGATCACCAGCTCCTGTATGGTCCCCCAAGCACCTCTAGAAGTAATTACTAAGTACAGAGCCAGCTGTAACCCCCGCAGGGTATGACCCCAAAACAAAACAAAACAAAACAAAAAAGATGAGCTACAGAGGCTGGAGTGAAGTACAGCAGGTAGGATGCTTGCCTTGCAAGAGGCTGATACCTGGGTTCAATCCCTGGCATCCCATATGGTCCCCTGAGCCATGCCAGGAGTGATCCCTGAGTGCAGAGCCAGGAGAAAGCCCTGAGCACCACCAAATGTGAACCCAAAATGAATGAGCCACACGCTCCCTGCTCACCTACAATGAGGCCTCTCCCCTGCTCCCCTGAAAGCCGAGCTGTGCCTGGGCCATGTGGTTGGTCAGCCCCTGATGCTGAGGATGGGCTCCCTTGGGGCCTCGCTCAGGCTCCCCTCACGCTCCCTGGCGTGGGGTAGTATTCTGGGTGCAGGACATGGGAGGCTGGAGACAGTTGCTCACCTGGTCAGGCCCCTCGGCCCCAGGCCTCTGCAAGAACCAGCGCACAACAGCCTGGGGAGACTTGGGCAGACACTGCAGGAAGGTGCTGTTGTGCTCTGTGCCATAGACCTTACTGGTCTCCACACTGAGTCCTGCAGCTTCCTCTGGAGGGAGGCAAAGGAAGGCTCAGCTCAGAAACCTGGGATCCAGGGCTACCCGCTGCATCCCACAGCCCTGAGGGCCCCTGCCAGTGTGACAGGGACCTGGAAATCCCTCACCCCTTTGGGTAACCTCATCCAAAGACTCTGCCCCGTGACATAGGAGAGAAACTGAGGACTGGAACCACAGAAACACACGTCTCAGGGCTGTGAGCACGGGCCCACGCACACCACCACTCACCTCCCTGGCTCTGGCCTGCACACTGCATGGCAGGGTTGCCATGCCGGATGTCCTGCCGGCGGAAGCGGCGCTTGCTAATGCCCGGACGGTAGCGGGTGCAGGTGGTGCCATCCCAGGCACAGTACGGGTCCCGGGCCAGGCAGCACTCAGCACAGGCACTGCCATAAGTCTCACAATGGTGCAGCTGCAACCGGGCAACGCCCAGCTTCGAGCCCACGTACAGCATTTGCTGGGAAGGAGGGGCACAGCAGCCTGGGGTGAGTTTCCTTGGAACCAGCCCGGCCCTCAGCCTTTGGAGGATTCCCGAGGCCCTGCATTCATCAGTGGTCTCTGAGAACCCCTTGGATCAGCCCCAGAAATAGAACATGCACCCCACCCGCCTGCTACACACAGATTCTCTGATTTAAGCTATTCCAGGACAAAAGCGGGGATTTGCCCAAAGAAAAGCACATAAATCTGGGGAGGTGGCATCTGCCACTTGAAAAGCTTATGACCAGGCCTCTAAAATGTGATTTCCTGTCCGATTTGAAATCAGAATTTAAAAAAAATAGCACAGCAGGTAGGGCGTTCGCCTTACACGCGGCCAACATGGCCGACCTGAGTTCGATTCCTCCGCCCCTCTCGGAGAGCCCGGCAAGCTACCGAGAGTATTCGATATGCCAGACACAGTAACAACAAAGTCTCCAATGGAGACGTTACTGGGCCCGCTCGAGCAAATCGACGATCAACGGGAGGGCCTTTACTTTACTTTACTTTGATATTATATAATATATAATATATCATATATATATAATTTAATATCAAATTTGATATTAATACTTTAATATGAAAGGATGGAGCGATAGCACAGTGGTAGGGCGTTTGCCTTACAAGCGGCCAACATGGCCGACCCGAGTTCGATTCCTCTGCCCCTCTCAGAGAGCCCGGCAAGCTACCGAGAGTATTCGATATGCCAAACACAGTAACAACAAAGTCTCCAATGGAGACGTTACTGGGCCCGCTCGAGCAAAAAAATATATATGTATAATATATATATTGACTTTGGGGCCACACCCGGAAATGCTCAGAGGTTACTCCTGGCTCCACACTCAGGAATTGCTCCTGGCAGTGCTCAGAGGGACCAGATGGGATGTGGGGGATTCCGGTCAGTCATGTGTAAGGCAAGTGCCCTGCTCACTGCACTATCGCTCCAGCCCCTCCTGCATGTTTCTGTCTCCCCAGGAGACCTAACCTTTGAGGGTTCAACTGATCTGATCACTGGACACCTCCTGCCCATTGATCTAACTCAGAGGATGGTATAGGGGAGGAGGTTCAGCAGGATCCCAAGCTTCCCAGCAGACAAGATGGGGCTGGACAGAATGGGGCAAGGGCAGGTACTGTTCTTACCCTTTTCACGGAGATCTCCATCTCAGTGATGGGGGTTGGCACCTGTGGTGGGGAGCAGGGCTTCAGAGAGGGGATGCTGGAGAGAGACCCCCCCCCGCTCCGGCCTGTCTCTGGGCAGGAACCACCTTCCTCCCAGCCTGGGTAGTGCGCTCCCTGGCAGTGAAGCCCAGGCGGCCTTTCCCAGACATGGGCCATTGGAAAGGGTCCCGCGCCCTGGCGAGCCTCCAAGCAGCAGGCTTGGCGCAGTGCAGAGAGCTCAGTGTCCTTCCCACAGCCCAGCTCCCCTGCAAGGAGGCAGCTGTCCCAGACCCGCCCACAGCAGAGGCACAGCAGCACCCCACACACAGATCCCCCGCCACCCGCCTGGCTCTGCAGAGGCCAGAGGACCCACTGGGGTTGAGATCTCAGCACCCACATACACAGAGACACACAGACACACACATGCACGCACATGCACACATACACACCACACACATGCACACCATATGCACACACAGTGCACAGACACATGTACCACATACACATATGCACACACACACCTACACATATGTGCACAAACACCTAAGCATGTACAGACATTCACACACATGCACATACATGTGCATGCACACATATACACACCCACACACACATACACCCCTATATGCATATACACAACCCCACAACCACATGTACCACATACACAACACGCATGCACACACCCCCACCCCCACTCACACACACATGCGCAGTCACATGCATACACATATGCACACACAGCAATGGTGAGTCCAACAGGGCTCAAGCAAAGGATACCTACATTGGCTAGCCCCCTCTGGGGCCCCCAACCACACACACACACACACACACACACATACACACACCCCATCTCCAGGTCCCCTGCTACTCAGAAGCATTGCAGGGCTTCTGCAGCAGCCTATCGCCCCTCCAGCCACCCGATTTTTGACCTTCGCTGGTTGCAACGCCTGTCTCTCTCCCTCCAGAGCTAGCCCCAGCCTGTCTCTCTCCCTCCAGAGCTAGCCCCAGGGTCAGAGGGCACTTCTCCTTTCAGCCTCCTCCACCTCACCTTAAACACCTGCAGCTCCTCCAGAACCACCTCCTCAGGCTCCACGGAGGCCCCTGCCTGGAGCGCCAGGACCTTGAGCACCGAGCCTGAGTCTGCAGGGAGAGGGGGTCAGCGGAGGGGTGTGGCCTGGGGCCGACCCTGCCCAGCCTACCCGGGGAGGGGGGCAACCCACCGGTCCCCAGGAAGATGACGTCATAGGTGCCGTCCTCCGCCTCCACGCGGTCCACCACGATCTGGCGCAGCTGCTGGCTGAGGTGGGTTTTGACGAGGATGGGGCGGCCACCGCGAGGCCGCACGGGCTGGAACATGAGCGGGTGGGCGCGGGCGAACTGCAGCACCTCATCCGGGTAGTCCTTAGTGCTGCCGAACGGCCGCCCAGGCTGTGCCGTCATCTTGCTGGGGCACTGTGGACAGCGCCGGGTAGTGGCTCAGCAGCCCGCGGCCTCCTAATGCTATCCCTCACTCCACACCCCTCCCCTGAGCACCAGCCCCCGAGAGGGACCCCTGAATGTGGCCCACCCACCCACTCCGCACAGCCCTCTGGGCCTGTGGGCGGACTCTGCAGCAGTAGCCCCTCAGCATCAGCCCTGGCCCCACTCAGGCTCTGGGGGACACTCACCATCCCTGGGCGAGGGAAGGGCACCTTGCCCCCATAGGGCCCCCACTGGTGCTGGGGACCGTCTTGGTGGGCAAAGGGCCCCTTGAAGACTTCCCAGATGTCCTCCATGTGGTACACACAGACAGCAAAGCCCTGGAACACAGCACTGCGGGTGGACAGGGACGGTCACGCCTGGTAGGCTGTGTCCCCATGGGGCAGGGGTCAGCCTGTCTCCAGGGCCAGGACACAGGGGATGGTGCCAGAAGTCGGCATAACCCAAAAGATAGGGACATGGACACCCGGGCCAAAGAGAGAGAGGCACCAGAAGACCTGGAGACTGGCGGCAGGGACTGACTGCGGGGAGCCCCAGCCAGGCCCAGAGAGGAGGGTGGGGGGAGGCGGAGGCCCACCTGACTGTGCGAAAAAGCCCGTAGACCTCAAGGTTCCTCCCCGCCTTGGGCCACAGCAGGAACACATCCTCTGCGGGAGAAGACAGCAGCAGTGCCCTGGCTGGCTCCAGCCCTGTGGCTGCCCACCTGCCCAGCCCCGGCCTCGGCCTGCCCTTACCCAGCTGGTCAAAGTGGGCCTCTCCGCCACCGGGGCCGGGCACCGAGCACAGCAGTCTGGCCTTGAGGAAGGTGCTCCACTTGTTCACCAGCACCCGCTGGCCACCCATGTCGTTCTGCAGGGCGGGAACAGTCAGCTGAGACCTGCTTCTGGGCCTCTATTCATTCCCTTTGGGAAACGGCATGGACTTCCGCTTGGCACCCTGGCCTCAGCTTCCCTCATGATTTGTTTTCTGATTTTTGCTTGTTTGTTTGGGGGCCACACCCAGCAATGCTTAGGGTTTATTCCTGTCTGCACTCAGGGATCACTCCTGGAGTTGCTCAGGAGACGGTATGGGGTGCCAGGGACCAAACCTGGGTCAGCTGCATGCAAGGCAAAGGCCTTCTGTCACTCCAGTCCCTCCCTGAGGGTCTGAGTGGGGACAGGTTCTGGGACCTCACTGCCCCCTGCCCTCAGCTCTCACCATGCAGACCCGGCCCACACGGCTGACGGTGACACGGCCGGGGCCACCATCTGGTGCGGGGACCGTCTCTGAGAAGAAGAAGTACACCTTGTCGTCATCCTGGTCGGAGTTGTCCGGGATCCGGGTGGCCATCACAAACCGGGGGTCTGCCAGGGGACAGCTTGGGGTTGGCAGGGAAGGACCTCAGAGGGACCCGGGGGCTTGCTCCCAACATGGAGGGGGGAGGCACAGGGACCCCCAAGGCTGGAGTCCTGGGGTGTCGGGCAGGCATGACCACCCTGGGGGCCCACCCCCGTGTCAGCCACCCAACCTCCCCGCTAACCTCACACTCAGCACTCAGCAGCACCCGGGCTCACCATGAAGGAGGTTCTGGTCCGAGTCGGAACGCAAGGCAGGCCGGGGACCCCCACTCCGGAAGATCATGGCCTCACGCCCCAGGAAATCGGCAGTGAGACCCGTGTATAGCTCCCCACCTAGTCAGAGTCAGTCAGTGGGGAGCCAGGACCCCGTGCACAGAACCTCCCCCACCATGGGTCCCGGTAAGCAGGTCACTCACCTACGAAGGTGCTGGCGAAGGGTCTGCTGGGTTCGTGCGGGCACCGGCCCCGCCCACTCTCTAGGCTGCCAGGCTCGAGCCGGAGCACGTGCTATGGGAGAAAAGGGACAAAGAGGTCACTGGTGGTCATTGCGTGCGGCCAGAGAGGGGGGAGGCAGCGGCGGCCTCCAGGCTTCACCCCCGCGCCAGCTCCCCGGACAAAGGCTGCTTTCAGGCCCCCCTGACCCCTCTGCCCCTGCCCGCCCCTTGGGAGGAAGGTCACTGCTCCCCAGGCCCTTGGCGCCAGCCTGGCCTCACCTCCCCGCGGTGCCCCACAGCGATGAGCGCACAGCTGGGCCGGAAGGCGCCAGTGCCACATGCCAGCAGGTGGGTCCTGTTGTGGGGCTGCAGCACCCGCACGAAGTTGGCACATTCAGTCTAGGAGGGAAGGGGTGAGGGGTGAGGGGACGCCCCCATCTCCAGACCCAGGTTCAGCCCTACCTTGCTGGTCAGCTGTAGGGAATAATGTGGGACAGGATGGGAGGTGTTCACAGAGGTTCTCAGAATCTGCTCCAAATGTCCCCCCGACCCCCCTGGGGGCACAGGCCAGGCTTGGGGGCGGCCAGTCCCCACAGAGCACTCACCGAAGCATCCCTGCCCTTCCGCACACACTCTTCCCTCTGTCCTGGCTGTGACGGCCACACAACCTGAAACACAATCCAGCTGACCCCAGGTCTCTCAGCCTCAGTTTCCCCATCCGGCCAGTTCTCAGACGTACCCTCGCCCCCATTCATTCAGCTCACCTCCCTGGGATCCGGCCAGGCCTGGTCCAGCCGCAGAGAGTAGAGGGTGTCTCGGCCCCCCAGGAAAAGGCGATCCCGGTACTCATCCAGGTACATGACCTGGAGGTCCAGGGAGCCCCGGGGACCCAGGAAGATGGAAGAACGGTTGGCAGCCAGGAGGTCTGGGAGGAAGGGGCAGGGGTCAGGTTGGTAGCAAGGAGGTGTCTGATTCCGCGTTCACACACCCACACACTCACATCTGGAAGATGTTCTTATCCTCAGGGCTTGCCCAAGGACTTCAGGGACAGGGCTCCTGAGTGAGTGTTGGGTTTGGGGGGACAGGGACCTGCCAGTCTCTCCCTGCTAGAGCGTTAACATTCCTCCATGGCACATGTCCCCAGGGAAAATGATGCCACTGCAAGAAACCCTGATGTCCAGCTGGGGGAGTGGGGGCGAGTGCTCAGAGGACCTATGTGTATGTTGGGGGGGGGGAGACAGTCACATCTGGGCTTCGTGGGCACCCTCAGCAGGACAGGTGGGCGGGCTGGCTCCCTCGATGCCATCCATGGGGGTGGGACACTGTGCAAAGGTTCCTGGTAGAGACCCCAGGGGTCTGGCTAGGGAGGAGGAGGTGATGGGTGGGGGCGGGGGGCACGACAGGCTGTGGTGGGAAGGGGCAAGAGCTCCCTTGGAAAAGCCCAGTATCTCCTGCCCACCCACTGCCTCTCCGACTCATCCACAGCCTCTTCTACGAAGCCCTCAAGGAGCACAAATTCCTTGCCCTATTTCTTTTCCCTTATAGCCTGACTTTCCCAAACCACAGCTCCTAGGGCAGGACCATGTTCCCCCACCTTCGGGTGCACCCCAGACTCCCCGGAAGTTCATCTCTCCTCTCCTGCCTCTCCACACACAACAGAACCGGCAGATCTCCTGGGGTCGTGCCCCTGGTTGCTCCAGGAGGGCAACGCTTTGCAGGGGAGCCGGGAGTCAGAAGGGCGAGTGGGCTAGAGGGCAGGCTGGCTCAGGATTAGATTGGGGACCCCCCCTGCCGCCTGCTCCAGCGGGCGCTTCCTGCACAAACGGCCTCACCTGCCCCAGGGCGGGCTCCCATCCATCCCTGCTGTCCCCTTTACTCAGGGGTCCTGGGATCTGCCTTTCCCATCCCCACCCGGGGCCTCCCGGGACTGGACGCTCCCTCCCGCGTCCGACCCTCGGGGGCAGCAGGCAGAGGCCACCCCAGGAGAGACTCCGCGGGGAGGCGGCATCTCTCTGGCTGGGGCCATCCGGGGCTGCCCATTGCCCATGGCCCATACCTCGGTAGGAGAGCCGCAGGCGGGGCACGCTGGGACCGGGGCTGGCGCTGCTGCTGCGGAGCAGAAGCCCCCCCAGGAGGCAGCAGACGGCCCAGGCTGAGGGGGCCATGCCGAGAAGCGGGGGCACCGCGCTGCCAGCGGAGCTGCCTGGCTCCCAGCGCCCGCTCGCTGCAGTTTGCGCCGCCGGCTGGGCTGCCCCGAGTTTATAAGGCGGCTCCGCCCTCTCCCAGCGGGAAGGCGGCGGGGAGGAGCCGCGGGCGCGCAGCCCACCTGCCGCCGCCCCGCCCAGCACCCAGCACCTGGGCACAGGGACACACTGCCAGGGGGCTGCCCGCAGACACCTGAGTCTCCAGGCTCCCACACCACACTCCCGCAAAGTGTGGGGTGTGTGTGTGTGTGTGTGTGTGTGTGCGCGCGCGCGCGCTTTCCACAAAGGGGGGTCATATGTCAGTAGACAGGAGGAGGGGGCAGCAGAGATGCTACAGCAGGTAGGGCACTTGTCTTGGACCCTGCCTACCCGGATTCTATTCCCAATACCGCATGTGGTTCCCTAGGCTCTGTCAAGGAGTCATCCCTAAGCCCAGAGCCTGGAGTAAACCCTGAGCACAGCTGGGTGTGACCTAGGGGGTTGGCTGGGCTTGCTTCGCTCTCTGCCCTTCCAGTGCCCATGACAAAGACCCCACAAACTGGTCTGGGATGGGCTCTCTTATACCAAGAGGGTTCAGTCCCCCAGTGCCTTGACCTGGCTCCCAGCTCCTGGGGACAGAAGGAATCATTCCGGACTAGGTGGGTCCCTGTGTGGGGCAGCGTGAGGGGGCAGGGTGTACTCCACAGGGGACTGCCAGGGATGGATACTGGTTTCCTCGGCCAGGTGTGACTCTTTCTGATCCCCCCAACTCTCTCACAGGATTGAGGACCGGCTCCTGATGCGCCAGGAGATCCCGCTCACCTCCTCTGTCTGCATTCCTCTGGTGACCCAGACTCAGAGAGTCTCCTGGGTCCTTCCCATAGGCACCTGTGATTCCCCACCTGTGATTCCCTCTGCCTTATTCTGATTTAGGGGCAGGAGGGTCACAGAAGAGCGACGAGCGCAGTGAGGTTCACCTTCCCATGTCACCTACTCTACTCTACTCGACAACAGCCCCTGTCCCCAGCTGCTACCGCTGCCCCCCTGAACTGCCCCCTATCCCGGGCCCCTGTGCTCAAAATCTGAGGGTTAGGACGCTGGCTAACCTGGGAGGGCCCAGGGTCTTAGGGATGCTGCAGGTTTTGTGTGCTCCAGGTGAACCTGTCAGTAGTGGAAACCAGGGGTCCTGGAGGGAAGAGCCTCATTCAGCCACCCAGCACTCCAGAGGCCTCCGCGGAGCCCTGTCCCCTCCTGAAACTGACGCCTCTTTCCTTCTGGTCCTGGAAGGCACTGGATTTCTGTCCCCTCTCCATCTCATCCTTGGAAAAGAGACAGACCAGCGCCTTGAGTCAGCAGGAGAGGGACTTGAGAACTCAGTTCTCAACATACATGCCTGCTCCCAGGGTTGGGGTGGGGGGGGGGTGGTTAGTCTGAGCTTAGGCCAGGAAGGTTGGTGTCTGGGCTTCAGCCCACCCTGTTCTATCTCCCCTCCAGGGGACAGCAGGCTCTGTGAACTGGTGAGGGGTGGTTGTGCAGGGCTGAGCACAAACTGGGTCCTGGAGCTGTGGAGCATCTCTGCCTCGGGTCCCTGGCGGAGAGGCTGCATCTGGCCCCAGGCGAACCAGGACAGCCCCCTCAGCCCACATGTGGCTGCCAGCTGTGGGCAGGAGGCCCAGCCACGCTTCATTCTGCAGTTGTTCGCGAGACAGCTCAGCCCGGCCCCCAGCAGGGGCTGTGTCTACTGGGGTGGGCTGTGGCACCGCCACACTGTAGGAAGTCAGCCAGGGTAGGGGGCAGGAAGCCCGGACTCTACTGCTAACTTTCTAGGTGTCCCCAAGAAGGTCTTCCCCCATTCTGGGTCTCAGTTTCTCCATTTGGAAAGGGCTAAGGGTTTTCCTTCAATGCACCCGCTTGCTATCTGCAGGTGTGCCTTGGTTTCTAAGGGTCCAGACACGAGCACCTTCTGCCATCTAGTGGATAAAGTGGAAACTGCAGGCAGTCCCAAAGCCGCCTGTTTTCCCAAAGCTGCAGGTAGGTCAGGGCCTCCCTGCAGAAATGAGTTTTGAGGGAACAGCAGACAGTGACCAAGTAACTACAATATAAATAAAACAAGGCTTGAGCGATAGCTCAGTAGAAGAGACAACCGAAGTTCAATTCCTGGCATCCCAGATGACCCCCTGAGCACTGCCAGGAGTCATTCCTGGGTGCAGAACCAGGAGTAATCTTTGAGCATTGCCAGGTGTGCCCTCCTCCCCCACAAAAAAGCAAATAAACAACAACAACAAAAAAAAACAAAATAACGGGGCATGGAAGATATTCTATTGATGGCTTCTGATAGAGAAAATCAAGGAGGACTTCTTGAAGGAAGCTACTCCAGCAAAGGATGCTACAGCCCAAAGAAGGGGCCTGGATAACCCTGCCATGACAGAGTGAAGCAACACACTGCAGGGGGGCTAGTGCAGGCTTCTGAGGAGGGGGGTCTGGAGTGGGGGCTGGAGGCTTCTGAGCCCTCATCACTGAACATGAGACTGTGTGTTCTCATCCCAGTACCACTTGGAGGAGACATGGGGTTCAACCCAGACTCTCACAGTCAAAATCCTGGTGTGAGTGGACCTGGAAGGAAAGATACCCCCAGGCCCAGCCACCAATCTGGTACTGGAACAGAGATACTAGGAGCATCCCCTGGGCGGGCATATTTAAGCCACCAGCCAGTCACCCCACGGAGCTGGCCCAGCCATTCTCTTTCACCCACATACAAACGTCAAGGTTTGTCTCTTTAAACCCCTGCGATCCCGTCAGCACCCCACATCTGGGGTCCCCTGGCCTCTCAGCTGCCCGTCCTCCTCATTGCCAACCCATGTCCCCTGACCCAGCCAGCCCTCCTGCAAGGCTCCGCCAGCAATGATGTGACATTTGTCACCCCTTTCTCTGTCGCCACCTCCCATGCTCCGGGCTGCTACCCCCTCACCACCACCAGCCTCACTTCTCTTCGCCGAACACAGCTCTAGATCCTTCAGAGCCTCCTGGGGACCTCCAGAGCCCCCAATTTCTGCAGCTCTTCCTACGTCTTGCATCAACATTGTGTTCTATAAGTGCCCTTAATATGCCCCTGGAGTCACTGCTCCCCTCAACTTCAGCCCAGTTCCTTGTTCCTGGGTCTGCAAACCTGTCTGGCATCATTTGCCCCCAGGGGGCTCCCAGTTTTCCACCAGACAGTTGGGGCACCTGGTGCCCACCCTGTCCAGGCACCCAAAGCTTTGAGGACCTCCAAGGTCCCTAATTCTAGGGCAACTAGTCTACTCGTTGTCTTCTTTTTTTTTTCTTTTTGGGTAACACCCGGCGATGCACAGGGGCTACTCCTGTCTCTGTGCTCAGGAATTACCCCTGGCGGTGCTCAGGGGACCATATGGGATGCTGGGAATTAAACCCGGGTCGGCCGCGTGCAAGGCAAACGCCCTACCCGCTGTGCTATTGCTCCAGCCCCTACTAGTTGCCTTCTATGCTCTTGGAGCCCCTTCACTCATCCTGTGCTCTCCCCGCCTCCACCAGACAGTTGGGGCACCTGGTGCCCACCCTGTTCTACCTCTCCTTAGCGGCCTTGTTCATGCCCTGGGCTGTGAAAGCCCCCGAGGCTAGCACTCTCCTTCTGCCCTCCCTGTTGTCAGCCAGTGGGACCAGGCAGTGCCCTTCTCCTGTGGACCTATGGGGGGGATGTGTGGACCTCAGAGAGACAGAACCTGGGGGCTTGAAAGCTGGGCCGAGGCATCGTAGCTCAGGCCTGGAAGGAAGGAGGCTCTGAGTTCCAGCTCGGGTACTACAAGGCCCCCGCCTCCCAGCCCAGCACCACCAGGAGTGGCCTGGTGGTCGCCAGCACTGCTAGGCGTGGCCCCCACAACAATAACAACAGCAACAAAAATAATATAACCAGAATCTAGCTCTGAGGAGACCCTGGGCAAACCCAAACTGCAGGTTTTGCTTGTTTCAAAGGCCACTTCCCGGCCGTGCTCAGGGATTACCTCTAACTCCGTGATCCCCAGGGTTACTCCTGACAGTATCCAGGGACAAAGTGCAGGAGCTTCTACCAAGAACTGACCTGTTCTCTTCAGAAGGGTCAGGTTCTGAAAGGCTGACCAGGAGGACCAGGGGACAGCCAGGAGACTCTGTGCTCCTGACTTGGGAATCTCAGTTGAGGAAGGGGGCTTGATCAGGGCAGCCAAGACCGTGCATGACGGTTCTTTGTGTTAATTTCCTTGGCACCGTCAGTGTTCTGTGGCTGGTGGTTTGTTGTATTTATTTGTTTGTTTGTTCCTGGGCCTCACCTGGCGGTGCTCAGGACTTACTCCTGGCTCTGTGCTCAGGGATCACTCCAAGCAGTGCTCAGGGAACCTTATGTGGTGTCAGGGATCGAACCCGGGTTTTTCGTGTACAAGGCCAGCATCCTCCCTGCTGTGCTTTCACAAGGCCAGCACCCTCCCTGCTGTGCGCTCTCTCTGCCCCCTCTGACTGATTCTCCCTAGGACTGTTTAGATGTTCGCCTTTGGGGAGGCTGAATGTACACTGGCATCCTTTGTACTAATGTGGCAGCTCTGGAATTTCAAAACAAAAAATTAAACATTGTAAAAGTCAACTTTTTTTTAAAGGAAAGATAGGAACCTCCGCTTCCCCATTCCCCAGAACTGTGCCGCTCCCAGGCTTCCTTATCTGGGAAAAAGCGGCTTTATCCTGAAATGAAAGGCTATCCTTGACTCCCCACTCTCTCACCCCTCCCGTGGGCTCCTGCCTGAGTTCTGTTAGCTCTGGGTCCTGAACACACTGAGTCTTCCCTCCCCTCTGACATCCTGCTGGGTGAACCGCTCACCCCAACCTCTGTCGCCTCAGGCCACCTCCCTCCTCCCAGAGCACCTCAAGGGAGCTGCCTGTTGGGGAGGTTGCTGGGACACCGTGCCCCACCCCAGCCTTTCCTCTCCCTCTGCTCTTTCCCCCAGGCCCTCTTTTGAAATAGCTGCTCTTCAGGTCTTGGCCCGGTGCCACTTCCTCCAGGAAGCCTTCCTGGCCCACCCCA